CGCCGCAGCGACGGAAGGAGTGCGAAGAGAGGGCTTCTGACGCTCCAGCATAGGGTGAGACGCGCTTGAGGAGGCGGTTCACGTACCCTTGGACGCCATCTTCCCCGCGCGTAGTCTGCCTTGGTCGGAACGGCGTCAACAAACTTGGGCCTGGAACCGCTGAGGGTGTTGCAACAGCGGCAGCGTCTAGCAGACTTGGGGCGGGTGGTGTGCCAGCAGGCACGGACGAGCATGGGCCTGCGAGTGCAACCCTCAAAGAGGCCGGGTCCGCTTCCAGTAATTCTGCTAGCGGAAGTCCAGGGGCGTTAAAGGTGGCTTCAACGGGAACAAGGTCTGGTAGCTGGCTGAGCAGCGAGCCGCATGGTGCATCCTGCGTTGCAGCGCCACAGCCAACGCGTGGATTGGGCAAGTCAGGAAGTCCGATTTGTCTGGCACGAGCGTTAGGCCCTGCTCCTCGGCGGTCTTGACGCGCAGCAGACGCACGTAGAAGACACCGTCAGTTGAAACTGACACGTGCTGCTTTTTTATGTACCCCAGGTCCGACGATCGCCCAAAGCAGTGCCACATCAGGCACGCGAGTGCAGCATCCTGGTAGTCGGCTTTCACGCGAGCGTTGCTGTAGACATATTGTGTAAGTGCATGCATGTCCTCCTTTGTACAAAGAGGCGCCTTGTTAACAATACCTCCTTTCTCTCTTTTCAGACAGTGCTTATCTAGAGTTTTACTTTGCTTCAGTAGCTGAAGCTCCGTAGGCACCCTTGGATGAGGATACAGATTAAATAGCCAAATCTTTACATTTCTATAATACGAAACGGCAGTGTTGCGAGCAAGTTTGCCTTTCTTACCTTCCTTAGTAGCCAGATAGAATCCAAAGCGGTCCATTATTGAGGCGAAGCGCTTGCCAGTCGTGTCAGACGCAATGCTAGCCTGCACATACTTTAGGCTTACCATCTCCTCTTCCAGCATACGCTTGAAAGCGCTTACCGCGGTGGTACGCACTTTCTGCGTGTTTGCTCGCACGAACGATGCCAGGCTCATGTCTGCTTCATCTGCTTTCCAACTGTGCACTCCTAGCCACTAAGACTTTTGTGTTGCCTTAGGCTGGCGACTTGCCTAACATAGGATAGTACCTAGAAACCGGAAGTGTTAAAATCTGCCAGCAATGTGCTAACAACTTGACATTTGTATTGACATATTCAAATTTTGTCATTGGTTCCGACAAATATTTGTCGGAAGCTGTCGGAACCGGAGACCTAACGCTAGATTATATGATTGGCGGAAATGTTCAAATAAAGGGCTGTGATTGGTTTAAAAAGTGTTGCTTGCCAATCTCACCAAACTATCGGTCGGAAAGACGTGTATATTCATCCATATCTGCTGCAGTGATTTTTCTATTTTTGGAAGGCGTCCAGTACCTAATAAAAAGGCAAACCGCTGGCAAGTCATACTAAAAACGGAAACGTGAAAATGTATGTATAGCTAGCTTTTCTAATGCTTGAATGCGCATCAAGCAGCAAAACTCATCGCAGTCTCAATGGGGCGTTTGTTCAGCTCCTGGTCGAGCAGCACGTTCTCTATGAGCTCTTGGCTGGTCGTGGTATTGGCGGCTACAACATTCAGCACAAACTCGGTGAAATCCCCTGCTGCAGTCATGTCGATTCGACAGCCTGCAGCCATTTGCGGCGACACAAGACTGCACATTTGCAGAATAGTAAAGTAACCGTGACCCTGGGCAATCGACGTGGGGCGCCTCGTCACCACGTAGCCTTTGTCTACGAAGCCAAAGCTGGAAAACTGCGAGTTGTTCGGGTCCAGAGCGTGTCCAATTGACACCCATACGACCACCTGTCTATCAGTCTCCACGAAGCGTCTGATTACCTGTTTCACGCTAAAGTCCGCAGTAGTCGTCTTGCCAATGAACTCCATTGTGAAGGCCTCCATAATAGTATCGGAGGAAGTCTCGAGTTGCTAAAAACAACAGCAGCAATTACTGTTAGCTTCTTCAAACGAAGTCATTGGGTTCCTTCGTACCTTTGTCGCGTTCTCATAGACCACGCCGCGGTGTTTCTCGCTCCCTTTGAAATGGTTCCACACGGCTGTAGTCACCGCCTCGTACGTAAAGGGTAACACTTTGTTGGCAAACACGTCAAGATACATCCCGCTGGCACCTTCTCGCATCCGCGCATCTCTACAAGGAGAGTCCAGATTCAATAACCCGTTAGTGGCGAACACGGCCTCTAATTCGGCGAAAGCCGTCTCCACACTGGTGAGCAGTGCCTCGTAAGTGTCCTTGTCCACTAAAAAGTCTAAAGTGCACCCCTGGGACGACAGGTCACCAGACACCCCAACCACCTCAGCACAACCAGACACTTGCTGTCGAGCTCGCTTCTGCAGCAATATCTCCATGCTTTTTGCCAGTTTCACCTGGCTCTCGAGTACGAGCTTAAGCCTTGCGTTCTCGCGCTCGGATTTCTCTCGTCGATGTTGCTGACGAGTGGCAATGTCTCTCCAGATGAAGGGCATTCTGGACGATGAAGAAGCAGGTTTTGAACAGGTAGATGTCAAGGCTTGCGATCGAGCTACGGGCGGCGGTTCAGCGCTGCGAATTCCTAGAGTTCGTCGTCGATGGCGCATCGTGTTTAGCTCTCTCTCCATCTGCTCCACTTTGTTTCTCAAGTACGCTAGTTCATGCTTGCGTTCGTCTCGCGCTCGATTTGGATTTACCTTCACACGGCGCTTGCTTTTCGCCAGAGCCGTCGTTGAGCCTTTGGCTGCTCGAGAACTGCGCCGACTCGGTCCTGATACGTCGGAAGCTCCAACATTCGTCACCATCGGTGGCAGAGGAGACGACAATGCTGACGCTGTGGCAGTAGTGGTTGAGGCACTCGAAATCGCTACTGCTGCCATTGGAGTCGAGTCGCTGTCATGCTCCGACGATGATGACAGCGTTCCCAGAAGCAATCGGTCCAGCTCTGCGTCTAGCCAATCATCTCCTTCGTCACCAGAACCGAAGCTTTCCGGAGACGCAGTAGTCAATGAGGTCGCAGGTACTTCAAGCGCCGAGATAGACTGGAGGGCGTCCACGTAGGACAGTGCGGCCTCTAGGGCCTCCACTTCGTCGTCTCCGAACAGCAGCGGCATAGCAGTTCTCGATTTATGTACCGGTATGTTCAAACAGAAAATACAATAATTACAGTTTTGATTCCTTAAAACAATTATTGGACTGCCCCACAGCAATGTTTCCTTCTAACGTTACACTGTATTGACATTCGTTGTAAATTACAACTTGTAAGGGTTTTCATGTTATGAGCACGGTAGCTTCTCTCGATTGGGCTGCAGCGACTGGTCCATCAACATGTTCTCTATGAGCTGCTGGCTGGAGGTGATGGTGGCGAACATAAAACCCAGAACGAACTCGGTGAAAGTTCCCACCGTGGCCAGGTCAAAGGAGCCGGCCTCGGACATTTGCGGTGAAACTAGGCAGCACGTCTGGAACATGGAAAAGTCGTCACAGCCTCGCACACGCTTGCTGATAACGTAGCCCTTCTCACGAAACCCAAAGCTAGCAAAGGGGGACTTCGAATTCTCGAGTGCAGACGCAGTGGACACCCAGACTACTACCTGTCGATCCTCCTCAATGTAGCGCCGCACAACCTGCTTAACGCGGAAATCGGCAGCCAAGTCATTTGCCATGAATTCGATAGCGAACATCTCTGCAACTGTATCGGATGATGACTCAACGTCCTATAACATTGAAGAAAGCTATTAATAGCGATCGCAAGTCTCACAAATCAGCCTCATACCTTGGAAAAGTTTTCGTACAGGTTCCCGCGGTGCTTCTCGCTTCCACGAAAGTGCGTCCACACGGCCTCGGCCGCGGTTTTGAAGTCAAAGGGTAGCATTTTGTTGGTAAAGATATCCACGTACATACCCTCTGGACCTTCACGCATTTGAGCGTTGGTGCACGCTGTTTCCAGATACTTCAGGCCATTAGCAGCGAGCACTTCGTTCACTTCGTGGTACGCAGACTCTGCTCGAGCAAGAAGCATATCATAGGTATCTTTATCGAGAAGAAGGTCCCACGTGGGGCCTTCCACATCGCCGACGGCATCACTTACGACACCATTAAAGCCAGCTAATTGCTGCCGTGTTCGCCTCTGCATCACAGCCTCCATACTTTTAGCCAGCTTTATTTGGCTTTCAAGGACCAGTTTTAGCCGCGCGTTCTCGCGCTCCGCCTGCTCTCGTCGTAGTTGTTGAGTCGATGCCATGTCGCGCCAGACGGGAGGCTTCCCTGCTGTATCCACGATCGATCGCGTTGTGATTGTTGTGTTGGTCGAGTCCTTGTTTTCAATATACTGCTGGCGAAGAGACTGAAGCTGCTCCTCCATTTGCTTGACTTTGTTGCGCAAGTAGGCCAGTTCGTTCTTGCGGTTGTCGCGGGCCCGGTTCGGATTCAACCGAATACGCTTCTTTATCTTTCCGCTGGTAGCTTGCTGAGTACATCCGCGGGAGGATCGGCGAGCGTTTTCACCGCCATTGCCGCTCGCCTGGGTGACAGTGTTAGTAGCAGTGAGATCGCCGCTGTCCGTCGGGCTAGCTTCTTGTGAAGGTGCCACGAGTGTAGAAGGCTCAGTATTCACCCCCGAATTGGTGCCTGGGGAGCCCGACAGTCCAACTTCCAACAGCAGACTTTCCAGCTCTTCATCTGCGATTATTTCACCCACTCTACTCAGCCCTACACTTGCTGTCACAGAAGAAGACTGCAGGGAGGAGACTCTTAAACCGCCCCTTCCATGCGGTATCACTGACCCGTCGTGGGAGAAGTCGTCCACGAAGGAAAGCGCCGCCTCCAGCGCCTCCATCTCGTCGTCGTGCAGCAGCATACTTGCTGGCCGCAAGTTACGGCGGCGTCTCTCGATGCAGAAGGTTTTTTGGTTTCTATGACCTCGTTGATGCAAACCGGCTGGTCATCAAATCACTTTGCATTTTACACAATCCCACGAAGATGGCAAAGAACGCACTGGTTGAACCTCAAGCTGATCAGGGTGCAACGAGATTCGCTGGTGTACACTGTGCACCAGCGTTGTACATGTACACTGTACAGTACCGTTACCGCAACAGAGGGATGCACTTACATAAAATAAGAGGAATTTCCAGAAAACAGTACTTTGTACTGTTTTCTTCCAGTCTGTACAAATAACTCTGGGATATAGCTACCGATCCAGTACATATTTCCAGACAGTTATTGAACAAAAAACCAGTACACTTAAGTTCGCATCTAATAATTTAATTTACAAACCACTTTTCCAACAACATTTACTATTAATTAGTTTATTTCTTACTTATCTTCAGCTCCTTCGACTCTGTTTCTTTATATTAAAAATACACTTTCTTTCCTATAAAAGTATTTACATTTTGTAATTGCAAACCAAATTTTAGCTAGATATTATCTAACTTTGCTTAACAAGTCATGTTTTAGAAGCACTTCGATCGTCCAGTACTGAAATTTCAAAATTGTGATCCAATAACATTTTCAGTTGTTGCCTTGGGGTGTCTATACTAAAATTGTATGAAACAGTGTTTCTTGTTTGCGAGTTATAAGATCTCGATTGCAGCGTCCCAGACTTGGACATTAAAATATTGAATTCTTTAAGTGTATTTGTGTTTTGTGAATTTGTTTTGTGATTTGGAGACTTTCGACCGCAGACGCAAAGGTTTATTTCGAGGAAGGCAAGCACAAAGAGGGCGAAA